GCCAATGAATTACTATAGGAATGTAAAGCAAAGCAAAGACAGATCCGATCAAGTCAGTAAAAAAAAAACAACCAAACCTAAATACCAAAAAACTTTACACTATTCTGAGAAGGGAAGAGGTAAATAACTATCAGAATCCTGATTTCTCTCAGAAGGTCAGCATAACTGAAAAGAGGCAAAAGAAAAGAGATAAGGATGAAGAAGAGGGAGAGCTCAGTTTCTGTATGACCTGTCATTGCAAGTAAAGTTTTCCAAAATAAATAGATCAGGTAAGAGCAGGGAAGGAATGCAGATTATTAAAATATTTTTCTTCCAAAAAACCCAACAAAACCAAACCAGAACAAACCAGCTTGCCCCACAGAGACACTGTTGAAAACATGGTTGCTTTAAATTAAAGCTATTCCATTTGTCAGCACGTCCTCCTCAGGTTTGCTCACCATTTACTTCTTACTTCCAATAAAATTTGGAGATAAGAGAAGTGCAAGATGATCACTATTCAGGTCCTTCTATCTATGTGGAGAGAGATGGAAAATAAACAACAATTTTTTACTTTTGGGCAAGTGATATAATCTTTTGTGGGTTTTTTCCAGTAAAGGCCTTAAGTATACAGACATAGACCTTACCTGTCTCTTCTGAAAGGCTTTGTAGCAAAAGACTTGCTGCAACATTAAACTCATGCTACTGCCTTCTACTTTCCTCAATTTTTTTTTATAAAATTCTATCATTGCCACTAAGCATCAGTATTGTCTCAAAGCCAGTGAGAAGGCAACCAACTGAGCAACTCTGAAGTGAGGATTAGCCAGCAGAGAGCTAGAAGATCATTAAAACTGCAGATAAAGCTATTGAGAATAAGATGTTAAAAGAGTGCACCCTCTCCAAGGTATCACCTGCACCCACTGCATGCCCCCATTGGGAGTGGCGGGTCTCTGAGACAGAATGACTTGGGGGAGCAGCAGAAGAAATGACAGGAGGTAGAAACCTGTCAGAATAAACCAGAAGATGAAGATGACACAGGACTGGACTGTACAGTGACAAATGAGCCTGACTCAGTGAAGAAATGAGCCTTACAAGATGACAGTGAGGTGGGTAGAGTTCAGGAGCTGGATGATTCCACCAGGTATGAAGGTACATGTTACAATCAGGGCAACCTAATAGTAGCTCACTGCTGCCCACAGGGCGAAGATCCTGCTCTTCCTCTGCACCTCTGGCATTTTACTCACCCAGCAATAAGACATCCAATTTACATACCTATTAATGTCTTCTTGACAAGTAAAAATATGTGATGATTTTATCAATTTAATTTGGGTGAAATTTGTTGTGATTTCACCTGAGGAAATGCAGCAGCCCACAAGCTTTGCACTGTACAGATAACTAAAGATGTTACAGGATGGCACTGTCAAGGAACAATTTTGAAGTCAATGATTTCTTGAAAGAGGCCACCTTAGCAGAAACAAGGTAAGGCTCATGAGCAGACATTACAAAGCCAAAAACTCAAAACAAGCATATCCACCTCAAGGTTTTGAAATACTTTAGCAAAGTGCTCCTTATCACTCAAGTGCCAACCTACACTACATGATAAACCTTTACTACTATCAATTATCACACTTGCTCAAGAAGTAAAAGACAGTGGCAAATCTAACCATTTAAAAAGTACCATGCAGATTATCAGTGCTGTGGCACACAATGGAAACTGATGGATTCTTCATAGCCTGCTTTCCTTGAAAGCTTAGGAAATCTTTCTCTAGACACTTTACTTCCAAGTACATCAATCCTGTAACATTGGGAATGTCAGAACGAACTTTACATTTGCAACCTTAATTCTGCCTTTTGCATCTATGCATTATTTATACAGCACTTAAATAAACAAACAAACACTGTTTTCCACTGGACATCTGCATCAGTGAGGAGCAAAGCTCAAGTTTGGAAATTAATAAATACGTATAATTAAGGAGCATATTTCCTTGTAACAGTAACCAAAGACAGCAAGCAAGCAAAATTAAGTTTCTAGCTAACATAACAGAGAAATGACCAGCAAGACAGTATTTTAATCCCTGTTTTCAACAGAGTCATGCTAATGGAATGAGTTCATAACAGTGTGAGCTGATTTAAAGAAGGTCCTATTTCTTGCCCTGACTGCATACTCCCACCACTTCTACCAGCTCTGGCATACTTCAGACCCTTCCACAAGACACAGATCTGGCAGAGGATAACCAAACAAAAAGACTGCATAGCCTTCTGCCAGATCCATGAGTTAAATCAATTGACAGAGCTGATCGGGAGATGAGTGAGGGTAGCAATATCCTTACATCTAGCTGCAGAAAACTTATGTCCACTTAGCCGCCTGTGAAACTGCAGTTAGAACATACAGAACATTCTGGAAGTGATCTCTCATTATCTGCATATCAGATTTGAGAGTACATGGAGTACCAAACTGCATATATGACCAGCATCCACCTTTACATCTGAAGTCAACAAGAGCTGCTTTTGGAACACATGAAGAAACGCTAAGGACTTTGAAAACTTCTGCCAGTTATCTGTGTATTAGCTCCCACTTGCAACATGGAGATAATCACATCCTTCTCACCATTAAGATTAAATCTTTGTGAGAGATACAGTTATCAGAGCACTCAATGTTATAGAAAAGCCTCAGAGAAAAAATGAGTACCTGTCTTCAGAGCCAGGCTTACTACTGTTGTAAATAAGGCCTAGAATAAGGATACAGTAAAATACTCTGCAGCCACTCATAATTTAGCATGGCTTATTCTAAAAACCTAATGAAGCAGAAAACCTGTGGAAAAAATGTCAGGATATATATACACACTGAAATGGCTAAAGTAGATTCACAGAAGATAGACTTCATAACCCAAATGTTCTTTTTACACAGCTGTGAGCATTTCATTTTTAGAAGCCTCTGAATCCACACAGACATAGGTGAAACAGTCATCACTAGCTCTGGTTATCTGCAGAGGTTATTTCTTAGCAAAAAATATAAATGAACCAGTGATGCTGTCACCATTCAGAAAAACCTGGAACGTCGTAACATTATGTAGTGCAACTTGAGCCTTCATACAGACAATGACATGAATAGAGAGGGAGCTGCATAACCACAAGCTGTTGCCCTGCCAATCCTGAGAGCACACAGTCATGGGTGATACTAAGGAGAAAGAGCGGGAACAACAGCTCCATCCCCTCCTCATCTGCCTATCCACTGGCATCTTCAGAGACTGGAGCAATGGGTACACGACATGCCAAAGCAGAACCCAATGGGAGCTGGATAGCTTATGCTCTTATAAGCAAGCCAAAGAATTTGACAGAAGTACTTCTACTTACAGTCTCTTTAAAACCATGCCTCCTAAAATCATAATAAAACAATCTATGATGAGTAAGAAAAATGTACAAGTATGCTTTACAACAAACCTATCCATTTAATCAGACTTGGAAAGTCTGAGTTTAATTTTTTGCTCTGTGCCAGACATCCTCTGTGCCTGAGGCAAGTCACATTGCTATCTCATGTACTGATTCTTCCTCCATACAGTGACAAAGATAAGACTTCCTGAGGTAGCAGGAGAATGCACACACTAAAGCTTGTGAGGCAATCAGACAGAACAGTGATGAGCATCCCAGAAAAGCCTATAAAGTGTGTCCTCAATATTAATTCATTTTCACTAGTGACACAACGTACAGTACATCTCAGTAAAAGTTGTCAAACTATCAAAGAACATGAACAGTTCACTTTGAAATAAAAATACATAAACGTAGAAACAACTGCAATACATAAACATGAAAACAATTCCCTCCCATTTGTTCAGTGCTCTCAGTAACTGCAGTGCATCCCAATTAGTGTAACAAAAAGCGTAAGAATCCACAAGCGCAGCGGATAGGCACTAAGGGAAGTCTGCAAGACAAAATTTCTCAGCTCCCACGTTATCTACAAAAGCACACTCCTGTCCAACCACCTATTCCAAACCTCCAGCTTTTTCCAAATTCAAGTTCACTTTGCAGCAAGTTTTAAAAAACAACAAATTCACATCACTCTGGGCTGAACATACTGAACCGCACTAGAGGTGTCACATCAAGCGACATACCAGCAGCTCTTTGTCTCACACAGTGAGAGACGTACTGCTTTGGCTTTTCCTTTGACCTGACTTGCAAAACAAGAGAAGCAGCAGCACACTGCAGGGCAAAAGCATAAAGGCTCTACCTGGCATCCTGCCAACTAGCTATAACAGATCTTGGTACTGTGTTGTTTTATATATAGCAAGAAGCAGGTCCCAGCCTTCTGCTCAAGCTTCAGATTTCCAAATGGTGTGAGCGAGTAATTGCTTGTAGAGCAGGCTAATTTTGAAGTGAAAGAGGGCACAGGCGATGGTGTGAGCAATACTGGCAGAGATGGTTGATGTCAATCAGGAAGGAAAGAAATGGTGTATCTGTGGATTGTCATGTGAATTAAAGCAAGACTATTTCAGACAGAAAAAAAAAAAAAAAGGTAAAAATTGCATGAGACTGGACCTTCACTACTTTGATGTTTTAGATCTTCAGTGTCTCCCACTATCCTGTTTCCACCCACATGGGTGCACCTGTAAGTATTTGTAACCACATAAGAGTTATTTAAGGTAAGTTAGCAAAAATGAAAACACTAACTTCAACCTCTCAAAATACTCCTGAGGGAGCACAGGGAGCAGAAGGGGAGGAAGAAAAAAGAGCAATAAAGTATATAACCTGGCAGACTTGTATTGCTTTACCATATGAAACTTGGATAAAATGCAAATTAAGGAAAAAAACATCCATATTAGAGTAACAAAATAAAAAGGGGGAGGGGGGAGCGTAAAAGAACCTAAAATCTGGTAAACTACGACTAGCTCGAATTCTCAGTAAGAGAATTAGATCCGGTAACTTATAACTAGCTCTAATTCTCAGTAAGATCTCCGCATGCAAGCATTATGACTGAAGACAGGCATTTACTTAAACTGAAGACAACTGAAAAACTATTATGTACTTACTATCATTTAGTGTTGTGAAGTCCAGGAACCGATATTCATAGCAAACATCTATCTTGGTTTCTACCTGGGGCCTTTTTAAAGTTGAATAGATATTACCAGGTCGTTTTTCATCATGTTTCTCCAGTTTGTTCAATCCACAACCCATTTCAGCAGCTCCTGATACAAAGAGGCAGGGAAAGGGAAAAGGGAAAAATGCATAAAAAACATTTATTTTTGTTTTTTCTTTACAGTTTCATGCACCACACTCACACATCACAGTGACTTTCAGTTTTTAAATGCAAGCTACCTACAAACTATATGAAATAGTGTAATTAAATAAATGCTGGGACAGTAACTGAAGTATGTACTACTCATATCAACCCTCAGGCATGCTATTATTTTATTGGAAAATTGACAGTTTAATGCATGTATTTTACATCTTTCAAATGTATTCAATCATATACTCTGGAAGACATATGTTCCATTATAAAAAGCGGCTGAAAATGCAAAACAACTTGCTGATATAATGGTTGACAACTTAGTAACAATTTCTATATATGCAGTTACTATGAAAGCAGATATCATTATCTTTTATACAGATCTCTAACATTCAAATCAATATCTAGACTTGTAATTCAATGGAAGAAGCAGGTTTGCAGAGAACTACCAGCATTTAGGAAAATACCTCACTTACTACCACTTCGTTTTTTCTGGTAAACCCTAGGAAATAATGGCACTTCACAGAAGCCATCTTCAAACCAGAAGAGGCACATGACCACAGAACTGGACTAGTTCTCTTTAATAAGCTGCCAGTCCACAACGTTTTAAAGAATTGCTCCTGACAACCATTTCTGCTACACAGTAAATGTTTCTCAATATCCTGCACATTACAGCTCATCTGAGTATGAAAGAATAGAAGAATTGCTTGGTGAAAATACTCAGATGATCCAAATCCTCTCAATCTTCTTCAACAATGCTGGTCAGATTGAGGCAAATTATTTCAACCAGCAGCGAGTATGAAAAGACACAGACACACCAGCTACGTACCTGAGGTTTTTTTATTACAACCCACCCAATATCCTGCCTCTGTTTATATGGAGAAACTCATGCTTTTGGGGATGGGGAGAGGAAATGCAGAATAAACACTCAGCAAAAAAGAGGGGCTCCCACAGGCCACCTGGACACTTTGAGGCATAGGATCCATTCAGTGTAATCGCTCTGCATGAAGCATCATGAAGATCGGTATTTCAGCCTCCCTGCAACCTCTGATGGATAGCAACAAGCACCTGAAAAACTTCAGTCACGGACTAGGGCTGCCTTTACCTTGACAATTACTAAACCTAAAGCAGAGAATGAAAAACCAGTTGAGGATCCGTGTCTCCAAAGAGGTGCTTATAAGCTTATGCCACAGCTCCATCCCCCAAATGGTTAGAAAGTTAGTCAAATTTCCAGCCCCAATGTATTTGGTATCTATTTGTAGAAATTTATTCATACTTACATTGTGCTTTAACTTTTATAATTTTTGTCCCTCCCTCATATTTCCTTGTGAAATCATTTTTAGGAATAGTTACCAAATCCCTTCCCGTATTTTGCTAGCACAAATGTGCTCAAGTCCTTCCCTGTCACTTATAAGACAGGATTTCTTCTCCTTCCATCTCTCCCCTCACTTTCATTTGCATCACTCCTGTTTTCATTTCTCTGCGTGAACACAGGTGACCATATGCTCAAAATGAGATTTTAACAAGGTCTATTAAAACAACATTGATGCTTCCCTGTCTTCACTGCAAATAACATGCCTACATCACCTAAAATCATCATTCACAGCTGAATCACATTCACAGTTTACTGTCAGCTTCCTAGCAGACAAAGAACCCATTTGTCTTTATTGTCATCCAACACAGCTAATAGGAGTTTCCAACTCATTCCCCATAACTTTCGCATTTTTCTGCTACTCAGTAATAATCTCATCCCATTCTCCCGCACCCCTGAAAGAACTGGAAGTCTTTCCAGGCTCAGCAATGCCACCCACCTTCACATCATCTGCAGAGTCCGTAAGTGCACATCTACACCTTACTGCAAAGTCATTAAAAAATACATCAAAATAGGACTGACCAACACATGAAACCTTAAAAAATCCCCTAGTAAATATTTGATCACTTGGAAACTAGAAGCAGAAAAAAAAATTCCTAGAAAGACTTGCAGCATCCAGAAAAATGGATGATGTGTCACACATGTTCCTGAACTTTAACTATTTGGGGGATTCATCCACCAGAAAACAACCTTCCCTGATTATTTTGACAGAAAAGTAAAAACTACTTTAACAGTTTCTATAAATGAAAGCTAGGTCTGGGGATTTATTTTTTTCTTTTGGCATTTAAGGTTAAAAATCCTCAGGATCTTTCTCTGTTCCCAAAATGATGTATTTATTCTTTTTTGTAATGACAACTCTACCATTAAGTAAAAAAAGGTTATTCTTTCATCTATGCAGCAGCTTCTTTCTTTTGCCCACGCAATATAATTAGCTTAAGTCTAAAATGTTATTTAATATACAAATGTATATTGTATATTAACGTTCCTAACATGGACTGTAACGGAACACATCTAGCAGTATACTTGTGCTTTAATATATTGTAGAGTGAGCAACTATGATAGCAGTGTCAGCAAGTGTATCAGATTTCTTGTTTCAGCAATGGCTCAGTAATTCTTACACATCATAAGTATACAATACAGCATTTCGTAAGGAAAAAAATTCCATTTTAGAGGTCATTAGGCAGTAGTGCCTGCAAACCTCAGTTATGCAAAGGGTCTGAAATCCACAGGCCTTTTCAGACAGTGATGGCTGCAGAGGAGGCCTTTGGGACTCAATATTTCACATCACGGAAGAGTTTCACATTCTTTCCTAATTTAGGGTGAAAGCGCTAGAAAATACAAGCCTGCTCTTCCAGCAGCAGCCATGGGCACTCTCCACTGCTTTTCTAGCAAACATTTCCTTAGCCCTTTTGAGAAAACCAGTCCACCCTCATTACCCCTGCGAGTAATGATCTCTGCAAACTGTGCCAACCTAGAAGCCATACAGTATGGAGATACCTGCCCACCTGGGATTGGACTGAAAACAAAACATACTTTTTTTGTATTAGTTCACTACTAAGTGACTGCTTACCAGAAGACTGATTTTCATCTTCCTACTGCTTGGCTAAAACTTCCATTAGTATCCTCGAGGATAAATACTTCCTCACATTTCATTAAGTATAGGCACAGTTATATTTATGTTCCTAAAGCACACATACAAAAAAGGATGTTTTCACTTGAATAAAAATGAGGTATTGGTAGAAAAAAGAAGTTTCATAACATCACAATCTTTTCCACAGTAATTAGGATGCAAGTGCTGCAGCAGTAAAAAATCTCAAGAAATAAAGTTCCTACTTTAATGCAGGAGTCTGTTAAAAAAAAATCCAGAGATGTATGAATAGTTAAAGTTTTCTCAAAGATACTGATGATGTGTGTATGACAACTAATCACTGAATCACCAAATTCTGCTCAATGTTATCCCACAAACTTCCTACTGGGACAGCTTGCTTTATAATCTTCCACAGATTTTTAACATTAGTTACTACCCTCTTCCTTTCTTTTGCAGCGAAGTTAATGCTGTTCAGTCTTTCCATTCTCCTCTGAAAACATCTCCTTGCTTTTCAGTTACAAATCTAGTTGTCAGCAGGACATTATTCACCTTCTTAATTTCCTACATTGAAGTTACCAATGAGTGCTGCAAGAAATGTTCATCACTGATGCAGTCAAAGTAATCTAAACCCACTTCAATCCCCTTTTTCAGCAGGCATATTGTTTTGCTATAAGTGATGCTTGAGGTTACTGTACTACATATATTTATCCTGGCTTTCTACACCTGCATGTGAATTTTTTTTTTATTCAGTATTAAAACAAATTATTATCAATAATATTCACTTTTTAATAAATTAAAAAACAATGCTTCAAAACCACTGCAAAATTGTCACATATTTTTTGCTCTGCCAGTAGGTTCTAAGACAAAGGTTCTTTTTCCTTTCAATTTAACATAAAAATTATCAACTCGCTAGTTCTATACTTACAAGAATTACCTTGAGTGAGAAAAAAAGTAACATCCAATGCAGAACACTAATCACTACAATTAAGATTTAGCTATGGGCTCTTATAGCTACACATGCTGGAAAAACTAATTCTGTCCAACTTAGATTGTGAATTAATCTTACGCATGCGCTATGATCTTGATAATCTCTAAAACTGTTCTTGTTTTCAGCCACACGATGATAAGAATAGAACTGAAACCCAGATCTAACAACAGATTTTTTTTGTCTATACCTCATTTTAATTTTGAGAAACATGAAAAATAGAAGCTGTGATGAGTTGCAGAACAACAGCAAAGCCTACAGTCAATTCCTAAACTTGTCTTGTGAATCCCCACTGGTTAGGAATCAAGCAGTTTGCATCTGCAAACTAAGTTCAAAAATTTAACCCACGTTTTGTACACCCCAAGCAAACACCCAACTTGCAAGCCACAGAAGCAGCCTCTTGCCGCCACCACCTCCTCCCCATTACTATCCTTCAATTTGTATTTTAGAGCAGAGGAGCCCTGGGGAGCATCTGGAGGAACAGGGCAGAAACCCACTCCACCACAGCAAATAACCTGCCCCTGAACGCTTCTTCCCAATGCAAGTTTTATTGAAACTGGTACCATCCTTTGCCATGAAAAACAAAGAGTCACAACAAATTGTACTCAGCAAGAGGAAAAAAAACAGTATTTCCATTTTTAAGCACCTCCATGATCCATGAAAATGAGCATATCTTGAATAAAATACAGGAATTTTTATAGCTCTTTTAAAGATCTGCCAAGTTTTCAACTCATCATCTCTGAACCTAAGCTTTGTTAAAATACTCTCTACAGTTCGGGTTGCTTTCTCACTTATACTAGCTTCTGTTCAAAATACATGAAAAATACAACAAGTTCAGAATTAGCAAAGAACAACAACAAGCTAAAAGCATATCAAGAAGCTAATGACTTATTTTCTTGATAATAGTGGCTCAGGCCCCAGGATTCCTTTTCAGCAGGAAAAGGGCACAAAGAAGAGAAGGAAAAAAACCCTGCCTTCTATCTGATTTTTTGTTTGGGGCTTTTTTGGGAACAAATAGAGCTAATTTTCTAATGTATGCCCCCCTCCTTTCATGGAACTCCGTAACAATTTATCTCCAAGGAATAATAATGAAAATTACAATGAAACGTAGCAGAACCACATGGCTAATGGAAGCTTGAATAGATTACCAGACTAAGTAATTTAAGGGATGTTTATCAACTGAGTATATATTGGCTAAACAGTTTATTTCAACTATATCAATATTACAGAAAGCATTGTCAATGACTACTTACAAGGATGATTTGAAAAGACTTCCTACACAATTCTTCTAAGTACACATAGTATTGGAGTGAACTGCTAAGCATACAGCATTAGACTGAACACTCAAATATCATCTAACACACTTGTAACTGCAATACACTACCACCTGAAACTAAAACAAGGTAATTTTGATATTTATAATGGCACCCAAAGAAAACATGCTGTACAGGCTGATTACACTACTGTCAGCTTGGTTTTAAGCTGTTAGTGAGAACAAGCTTGCTTGCATTAACACATTTTAAAAATTTATTGTCCAGAACTAGTGACCTCATTTTGTAAGCTTTATGATAAATTTATTTTTTTAAAAAACATATCATAAGCTACTGCTAAAGTTCCTGTCACAAAATTATGGAACATGATTCTTACTGGTGAGTGAAGCAGTGACACAAGGTAACTGCAATGGATTAATAGGTTTTCTCTCTTGATTTTGGTTAAGTCCTTTCATCCTGGTTCTTCTTTCCATGGGTAATATTTAGCTACCTCACAGGGATGCTAGAAGGCTTTTACAAATAATTACAGGACTTCACATTTGTTGTGCAGTAATGAGATGCACTTATTTCCTTAAACCCTCACTCCTGCGATCCTGACCTTTCCATTTTCAAAATAATAAGCACTTCATGCTCAGCTCAGTTCACTTGCTAGCATGTGGTCACTTAATTCTTGCATCCTTCCCAGTCTAAGAAACATCAGTGTTTAGTCCCCAATTCAGCTCTAAACAAACCCTGAGAGAGCTTGTAAATTATGACCGAGTCCCTTTCCTAGCATAGTTAAAGCAATGAAGCAGAAGAGCAATAACAAGGCAGAAAAAAACATCAGCCGGGGAAGCATAACCAAAGCAGAGGATTAAAAACACCAGACCTGACAAACTGGGTGTACAGGCAAACAAAGAAAGGAGACTAGTATGCTAGGATGATCCTTTATAGGTTCCCAGAATAGAGCTGTGCTCCTGACATATCCCCATTTTTCCCTCTCTGGCTTACCACTATATGGGTTTTTTTGTGAGATTACACTCACTAAGAAGGAAATTCTATACTGAGAGATACCTACTCAGTCCTTTTTTGAAGAGTATTACCATACAGGTAACTATGTAAGCATATATTCAGTAAATGCTGCAATAATTGTTCTTTGTGGGGAAGGATCGTTTAAGTAATCAATGTTTACCAAACAATTTAAAAGATTCTCAAAGACTTATTTTGAAAATACGAAGAACAATTACAGTAAATCAGTCCTACCCATTGCTGGATGTCACAACTGATCAGTTTTTTTCCCCGTATACTTACCAATTCAACTGGCGCTATCAGGATATTAGACTTGCATCTGATAACTAAATCTCTGCTTATAGAAAGGTTGGCAAAAAAATAATCCTAGCTTTATTCTTTATGATTGATTTTCTTTAAATTAAACAGTAGAGCAACCCAAGTAAATCTCAATTAAGGTTTTCAATTTCAAAAAGCCAAATCTCAAAAACTAGGGGAACTCATTAGTGAGATGAACAAGAATGAAAAGTTGGAGGACGTGAACATAGGGGAGGTCTGGAACATGTTTAAACTACAATATGAGTATCTGCAGAATTTGTAACCCAAGGAAGTGACAAGAGAATTCATAAGAAGGTTTCCAGACCCAGCGAGATGAATTACCTAATAAAGAAGTTAAGATAGAATAAGCAGAGAGCTTTCAAAGGACAGGAAAAAAAGCTCAGCAGAGGAAACTACAGTCTCGGATCAAGAAACACCAGCATCAAGTGAAATGTGCCAGAAGCCAAGCCCAGTTAGAGAGGCCAAAGATACCACAACTAAACGGAAGCAGAACACAAATCAGGAGGACTAATTTGGACTCATACCAAGAACCCTGGAAGACCTGTCATGATGAACTGCAAATCCAACCCCTAGAATTAAAAAGCAAACTATTGCACCAGGTTTCGCACCGTCTCTCTGGGAGACAAGAAAACATACTGCCTACACGAAAAAAAAAGGGGAAAGATAATTTAACCAGTTAAAACAATTGCTAGTCTAGCCTCAAGAATTTGCTAAACTTCAGGGAGCTTGAAGAAAACAAAATGATACACAGATAAATACGATATTGATTCAGCAAAGTTAGAACAGACTGGTAGGTCCTAATCACAGCTCATGGAGAAAGCACATGCAGCACGTCAAGTAACACACCGCCACAATAACATGATTTCAGTAAAACATTATTAGGTGATCTTGTTTTTATTAGGGTGTTCACAACACTAGTTTTGGGCTCAACTCTGCTGCCCTACATAACACACATCCACTTTCCTCTGCGCTGTCCCTGGGCCCGCAGGTCGCAGGCTACCTCAAACAGGGGCTGCCACCAGCTGCGCTTAACCCTCTCTAAGGAAACAAAGCTGGTTTGTGTGTGTGTGCGTACACATGGGCGAGAGGGTGGGAGGAAGAAAGCAAACAGGATCAGAGAGAACTGGTAGAGGAGCGAGGCAAGTGTTGTGCTGGTGTTGGGGAGCAATCTGAGGAACAGTAGGCTGATGGAAGATCTTGCTTCTTATCCCACCTACATCACTCCATAGGATTTATCCAAACGATTTAATACTGAGTGATACCATGATGCTGTCTTTCAGTACAAGAAAAGGTTCAAATGTACCACACAGTTCTACAAAACACTTTTAGGCAAGGTATTTCTGGTCACTGGATAAAGTACAGGTAAAACTTCTTCTGAAATACCACGGCTGCTAACGTTCCAGCAAAATGCCTCCATGTGAAGACAAGAGACTACAGAGTTGCCAAGAAGGACTAGAGAAACACTCTCAAGAACTTAAGGGGAAACTACAGCAACTAACATTTATTGTCTAGCGAATTAAAGACTGAATGGACCCAACAGAAGCATGCATAGGAATGTTAGATACAAATCCAACCTTCCTTTAAAGTTAATCCAATGCCACTCAACCCACAGAAAACAAGCATGAAAAACAGATGCATATTGCAAGGTATGCACAGTAGCTTCAAGGACAGTGAATAAAACCATGGTAAAACACCAAGTTAGACAGACTTGACAGTTGTATGCTTACTGTCTTTTGCTAGTTTGCCATGGAATAAAACCCAGGCCAACCCATTTGGGATAAAAGTGGACCACTGAAGCCAGATGCGAAGCTGTGGGATCTCACATGAAGTTGGGGGATGGAATCGTAGTATGGGATTTTAAAGACAGGCTTCATCAATTTTGATTCTTAATTCTTTGAAAGGCTGTGGCGCCAGCTTTTTCAACACAGATTCTTAGGCCACTTCATTTCAGCCAGTATAGTATCTGTGTTTCCCAGTACCACCGCTCATAACTCCCCGAGGTATTTAATCACAGCTGTATATACTCATTCCGTGCTACATTCTCGCTCTCATACCAGGGGAATGCCAGCATCCAAGCACTGGAAAGCCCCTTGTCTAGTGTAACTAACTTGAGGTTAATTTAGATTCCTAAAATAACCCTTCATTCTGAGACCTTTTTTCCCTTAGATTAAAAAAAAAAAAATTAAAGACACCAATATGACCACTAGTATTGTGAAAAAAAGGGTTATTGCCAGTAACTTGTTATTCAATACCAGAAGCTAAAATGGCTTGGATTCATTAAAAATAAAACATAAAAGCAGATGTCCAAAAAGATCTCCCCTTGTAGAGCAGAGAGCAGCTATGCCTTGACAATGTTGGTTATTCTCCTACTAAATAAAAAAAAAAAAAGCCCAACCACGGTTTTGGTTTTGGTTGGTTTTTTTTTTTTTAATATAGGAATTAAAATAGAAGCCGTATAAAAAGCATACCATAGCTTCCAAATGTTGGCTGAATACATTAAAGAACGCTTTGTCAGGTATAGTTAAATTTTTATTATTTCGCACCCAGCAAGCACTTCAGCACACCAGCCGCCCCTCCCGAGACCCCCAGTGGACTCCGGCCCCGCCGCCTGTCCCGCCACAGGCAGCCGCTGCTCCAGCCGGCTCTCCGGGTCCGAGCTGGCGGCGCTCCGGAGCCAAGCACGCTCGGTCGGCGCGGAGAAGGAATGCCTGCCATTAATAACCTGACCGAGGTGGAAGTATCCCAGAAGAGCTCTAGAAGTCCATCCACGTAAATTCCCCTTTTCCAGCAATACGCAGGCTGCGAGCAGGAGTTTGCTCCGCCAAGAGTTCAGATAAACCAGAGAGGAGAGAGATGCATTCTCTACTCAGACATACAGATGCTGACCCGTGGTCACCCTGCCTCTCCTTATATCGTAATAAAAACGTGTTGAAACAGTGTCGCGGACTCGAAAAGGCAATATCCAGCCCAGCCTCTGAAAACAACTGTAAAATCACAGACTCCCGCCAGCCACACGATGGCACGTCGCGGTACCGCCGCGCCCCGCTGCCCGGCATGTGCCGAGCGGGGCCGGGCTGGGCGGACATACACACACACACCCCCCCAGCCC